AAAAAAAAAAAAAAAAAAAAGGCAGATAAGATACTCAGTAATAGCGTAGCAGCTGAGAGTTTGGGCTACAGGATTGGACCTGAGTTCAAACCTTGATCCCACCAGGTTCTAGTGTGATCTTGGGCAAATGACCAAAACTTCCTATGCCTTAGTTTTCTCATCTGTAAGAAGAATGGTACTAGTTCCTACTTCATCGTTCTGATGAGGCCCGAATGAGAGAGCGGGCCCATGCCGAGTGCTAAATAACTGGTAGCTATTATTTTATTTCAGTCGCTAAAACATAAGAACAAATGACATCTGCAGATCACAACCACCTAAAGGAGAGCAGAAAAGGGGAATTAGTAACTGGCCTGCAAAAGTGAGGTTTCCCAAAGTGGTGGGGGCTTCAGTAGGTGGTGAGGTGACAAAATGGTAGGACACACAGTATTTTTCTGCTCTGCCAACTTTATTCGACGGCTGTAAGCATGGTGGAGCTCTCTTGCAGCAGGGCGGTGGGGGGCGTAAGGGGTGGCACTCAGAAGGTGAGGCTGAGGGGAGCTTCAATGACAGTGTGAAGGCTGTGTGCATCTGGGAGTGAGCTCTCCTGAGGTGAGCTGCACAGGAAGGGCTGTCCTCCCTAGCACTGGGATGCTGAGATCCCTGGGTACATACATAAATGTGTATCTGTTGGAAATGGTTACTGTGTGCCCATTTCTGAGAATAGGAATTGGGAGAATCAGGTGACTGCATTCAGAGTGTAATAGGTACTACACCAGTTTTGAAAAATTCAGTACTTTTTTCGTATACGTCTTGTTACTATGTTCCAGGAGCTGTTCCAGGACCTTAAAAATACATTTGAACTCATATCCTTCCCAACAACCTTTGAGGTAGGGACTATCATTACCCCCATTTTACAAGTGGGGAGACAAGTTTTGAGGCCTTAAGCGCTTGCTAGAAAACACACAAAGTAGCAGAGCCAGGAAGCTACGTTCACAGCCTCTGCATTTAACTTAATCTAAGGCAATCGTGGCCTCCTTCAGTTCCCTTTGGTGGAGAAACATAACTCAAGCCGCTTTTAGGAGCAGGTTAGGTGGTACCTAACCCTGGTGGTCACAAAACTGTGTGCGGGGGAAGAATCTGCCCCCGGGGCTGGAGGAAGGGGTGGCTTCTTGCTGGTGAAAAAGAGAGACTTCTCCCCGTCTCAGTGGTTGTGGAGTCACGCGGGATGTTCAAGTGTAGGGTGGGGATCTCTGAAGAGCAGTGTCACAACTGGAGAAAGAAACGACAAAGTTCTCTGACTTTTTTTCTTCCGCCAATGGGGTATGTTTTGTTGAATGAATGAATGTTAAGTGAACTGCCTTGGAGCTGTTTCCAGCCAACTGTGACCAAGTTAACTGCATAATGGAGAACTCATTTCTCTACTTCCTGTTTTTCAGGGTCCAAAGAATGTGTTGTCGGCATCATCCCCCAGGGGGAGTTTGTAGAACCAATATGCTTCAGGCTAGAACTTGCAAGTGAACCATGACCTGGACCTGCCGACTTTGAACCATGAGGTGCTCCTTGTGCCTGTGCAGGATGAATGGCGAGGTGCTTGTGGTTGCCAGCAAGCCCTGAGCCTAAATTCACAGCCCACCTTGAGCATGCTTTAGGCCTCAGCCTGCACATTGTTTTTCTATTTTCTCCCTGGTCCTGAGCGCCAACTCTAATGCATACCTTTTCCTATGTTGATACTTTGAATCCCCAAAGTAGTGTTTACCATCTTAGCTGTGGTAAGTATGGTGTGGTAAGTTAGGGAGTATGAAAAAATCAGTAAGTCTTGAACCCTCTCCAGAGCCTCCCCAGTGCGGCTTCCCCGCTGCTCATCACCTGAGCTGAAAGCGGAGGAAAGGAAGGCCCTTTTCCTGCCTTCACCCTGGCCCTGGTTCTTTGACATTGGCCCTCCACAGCCAGCGCCATGAGGAGGCCGGATGCTCCTTGTCACCCTTTTCAGGGACCCAGGGACAGCTTCCACAGGCAGCTCTGAGCCTGGAGCCAGCTCTGAGCTGAGTCTCAGTCCCTGGACTGGCGTCTGGTTCTGGTCAGCTGATTATGTTCGGGGAGGAGGGGGGCAGGGGCAAGACTTTGTCTTACGGGAAGTTTCTTAGCTTTCACAACTGCCTTTTCACATCTGCGACAATTTTTCCTCTTGATTTCTGTTCCTTAAAACTGTTTTGGTTTTTGAAAATTAAGGTTGCAGAAGTCAGTTTTAGGAAGGCAGGGAAAGTTCTCTGTGGACCTGGTGCTGGCTATGTTGAGTGTTTTCACGTAATGATGTCTTGGAGCTGCCGTATACTTAGGATTTGGGCACTTTTCAGTATGTATATTTGACCTCAACCACAGCCTGAAGATTTTATGCTTCCTTATTAGAGGTATCAGCTCATCTGTTACCACGAAAGAACAAAAGACAAGATGTTGCGAGAAGACGCTGATCAGTTTTTAAGTTTATTTATCGATTTTTGAGAGAAAAAGCACAAGCAGGGGAGGGGCAGAGAGAGGGAGGGAGACACAGAATCCAAAACAGGATCCAGGCTCTGCCCGAGCTGTCAGCACAGAACCCAATTCGGGGCCCAAACCCACAAACCGTGAGATTATGACCCGAGCCAAAGCCAGATGCTCAACCGACTGAGCCACTCAGGAGCCCCAAGGCTAACCAGTTTTAACTGGTGTGAAAATAGGGGAGTGCACAGTGAAACTAGGGACCAACCCAGTCATTTTACTTTTAGGTTTTTACCCTAAAGAAACAAAGCTGTGTGCAAAGTTTTGTCAGCGTTACTACAGTAGTGAAAAACTGGAAACTTCAATCCTAATAGTTAAATAGATAAAAGATGCCACAATCAAAAACGGAGTGCTATCTTGTCCTTAAAAAGCATGCCATAAATGTTTGTTTTTTAAAGCCATTTATAAACACAGTGCAATCCCACTTTTAAAAAACGGAAGTATGTACTTCACATACATGCATAGAAAATAGAGAATGTACACCGTAATATTAACAATGGACTATACCCGAGACAAAGAATTACAGGTGATTCTTATTTCCTTGTCTATGTTTTTTTCTTCCAAGCAGCACTCACTGCTTCCACAAGTCCATAAGAGAGGAAGTGTGCATGTAGGGCAGCACGCTTGGCTCTCAGCTTCCTTACCAGACTGACACGCAAATCACACTCAGAAAGGAGTGGTCTCCCCTCCTTCAGGGGCCCCTCTGCGATGCAAGGGCTGGGCGAGCAGTTTTGTCCCCCTCCCCTGCAGATTTCACAGAGATTTTCTTCATGTGCCAGGATTCAGTTAACCCTTTCCATTTTGAGGCATTCCTACTCCATACAGTTTCACACTTCATAATTTAAAAAGTCTGATACTATTCAACTACATTATCAAACTCTGAAAGGCAGAAGTTCTCTTATTCCCTTACCTCTTTGGGGCTATGGCTCTATCACTGGTGCTCAAGAAATAATTTGTGCCCTTGAGGTTTGAGACACAACACCCCACGCTGAAACAGAGGTCTCCAGAAGAAAGATCTGAATGGCTGGAGGAAGAGCCCTGAACCTTGCTGTGACTCTGATCAAGCTGCCCCCCATCCCTGGATGTCCACTGAAGAGGTTTGGGCTAAGCTATGTCAAGGCTCCCTCCTCCCCCACCAGCTCTAACCGCCAGATTCCGAGAACATGGCTCACAGTAGCTCTGGCCTGCCCACCCTTTACCCCAGTGCGTGCACACAATGGTCTCGTAACCCTTGTGGTGTACTGTAGATACACAGTCTTGTTTTGTGTCAACTGAGGAAAACACATAAAGAAAAAGTCGCTTCCCCACCCCACCCCCATGAAAATAATAATGAGAACAGATACATTAAGAAGGAAGCTGGAAAAACTGAAAGGGAAGGACTTACTGTCCTCATAAAGAGAGTTTTATTTGGTCTTGTAGTGGCTGGTGCATGGGGCCCATCTCCATGTTAGACGTATCTCTCTGACGGGCTAGGCTTGCCTCCTGCTCTGACCGCGGGCCTGAAAGAGAGACAGGCGACCAACTGTTACTGCAGCAAGAGCCCCCACGGTGTGATGCAACATCCATGCATGTCTCCCCACCCTCTCCAGCCTCCTGGCCCCTACAGGGCCTGAGGACTTGTCCCTGGAACACCAGCATGGGGCTGGGTGAGTGATGTCAGCAACCCTGTCAAGCATCACGTGTCTGTCGTCTCGTGGTCACAGCTACCTGAAGAGTGAGGGGCACTGGGAATGAGAGACTGGAGAACTTGCCCAAGGTCACATATCTAGGAGGTGGTGGAGCCAGGGTCTGAACCCAGTTTGTCTAGCTTCTTGGAGCCTTTGTCAGGGTACCCATGGAGGTGACAAAAAGAGGCTGATAACCAACATCATCAGTTGACCTGATTCTCAGCCCCTGGGAGGATCACAGGGATAGGGGAGGATGTGAGCAAACCACCACCATCAGCCACGAAGAGCTACTTTATCTCACACAAACAACCCACATTTGATGTCACACTAAAAATGTGTGTTAATTCAGTACTGGGCTAGTGCCTCCTAAATGGGCTAATGCATCATGAGTGTCATGTCTACGCATACCATCCTCCCAAACGTCTCTGTGGAAGCTGAGCTGCCCTCAGTCATCACTAGATATGTTAACTCATGCATGTGGATCCCTGAGATATGCTTACTCAGTATAGCTTTGCATTCTAGGGCAGAGTTGTGT